GGAAAAGTAAAAGAAAAGATTCTTTCATTGTTTTACAAACCCTCCCCCAGGTCCCCTCCACCATGCAGCCCTCGCTCTAGTCTCCTGTGATAGGTCTATCTATTATCACTATTTTTTAGCATTGCTTAGTATTCCATTGTGTGCCTGTATGTTTATCCATGTTTGTTTATCTATTCATCTGTTGATGGACATTTAGTTTCTTTACGTGTTTTTTTTTTTGTTATGAATAGTACTGTGAATCTATGGGCATGCTGTGAATCTATTCCCAACATGGCTTTTATTTCTGTAGACTATATATCTAGTAGTGGAATTGTCGGATTATATGATATTTCTATTTCTAACTTTTTTTTTTAATTATTTTTTGTGTGAGTGTGCTGTCAAATCAGATCTGACTGGTACAGGAGGAGATTGTCCCTCCTTCCCCGGCAGAGCATCTGGTGGATTCGAACCGTGCGACTCTGGGATTGTAGTTGCAGCTTCTTGCTATTTCTAACTTTTAAAAGAAGTCCTGCACTACTTTCCACAGTGGATATATCATTCTACAGACATACCAGGAGCATATGAGTGTTCTGCTCACTTCATACCCTCACAAAAATTTCCTGTTTCCTAACTTACTATTAATTTTTTAAATCCATGATATGCTGTTGTAATTTTATTTGTGTTTCTCTAAAAGTAATGATTTTGAGTATTTCTTCATATATATGTTGGTTGTCTCCTAGTCTTCTTCAGTAGAAGTGTCTGTTTATAGTCTCTGTATACTTTTCAATTGGATTATTTGTCTTTTTTGTTTATGTGTTAAAGTTTTCTATAAACTTTAGAGTTATGTTCCTTGTCTGATATACCATAGTAAAAAACTATTCTGTAGTTTTAAAATTCTCTACTTACTTTTTGTGACATCTTACTTTGCACATAATATTTTATATTTAGTGGGTCTCAGAGATCTAATTTGTCTTTTATCCTTTTGGATGTTTTATTATGTCTGATAATGTATTTATGTATTTGCAATGAGTAAAACATTGTACAAAATT